AACTTATATAAATAATAAATTCTAAACTAAATATATAATACATATAATAATAGTATCTCATATTAAATTTTTTCTTTTCCTAAATTAAATATATAAGCATATTCCTATAAGTTGTTCAATATCCCTTAGATTAAATACCAAATATAAAATTTTGAGTATTTAAATAAATGTTAAATTAAAAAATTTATATCTAAAAATTTTTATATATTAAATATAATTCATACCGTGCTCAAGAATACTTAACTCTATCCAAATGAACGCCGAATGATGACTTTGAAGACCCACGTCAAATTTCAAGACCAATAATATTAATGCAGGTCCAAAGAAGGCCCCCGTCACAAAATCCTTAATTCACACTCTAATACCATTCCGAATCTAAAGAAGACCGACTTAATATTCTGGAGTGAGAATTTTTAGGTACAGATGAGGTATGAGAGGTCCATCCAAATAAACCACCCGTGCTGCTAATTATTTCTCATCCAAATAAACCAAAAAAAAGACATGTGTATATAAATAATGATACAAAATTTATTTTTTATTTAAAATTTAATTAAATAAATATGTTAATGTGATAAATGATTTTTTAGTCAATTAATTTTAATAATTTTTTAATCATCCAAATTATGGGTAATGGAAAAAAATATATAAATAAAAATATAAATTTTATTATTTTTGTATTTAAGCATATAAATTAATTGCTTTGATGATAAAACAAACAAAATTAAGGAAATGTCATAAAAAATTGAAAGAAAATAATTTTTAAAAATAAACTAACAGTTATATCATCACTTAACTAGTGGTAGAACAAAAAAATACAATCTGTATAGTTGAGAGGGATAAATAAGTGCTAAAAATAATTTAAGATCCCAAATTGTATTCAAAATATAATGTTGAAAGAGTAAAATTCACATTTAACCTTTCAATAGCCATAAAGCATCCCCTTGTGGACTTTAACTTAAGTTCAAAAAAAAAAAAAAAAAGCATCCCCATGTGGACAACATCCACACAAGAGAATATGAACCGCGCTTAGTCGTCGGTAAGTAACGGTCAAATGCAAATGCTAATCAAAGTCCGCGGAAGACCCCACGACAAACGACGACTTTATAACCCAGATGAACCAAGAATAACGACTTTGAAGACCCACGCCAAATTCAATACCAATAGTACCAATCCAAGTCCATAGAATGCCCACGTCACAAGTCCGACTACAGACGCAATTCTGAATTCACACTCTATACAATTTCGAGTCCAAGGAAGACCCCACCTAATATTCTGGGTGAGAATTTTTAGGTTCAGATGAGGTATGAGAGATTCATTGGAATAAACCACCCATGCTGCTTGTTCTTTCTCATCTTTCTCCCCAAAGAAAGACACGAGATCTTCAACGGCAATGTCACAGATTGTGAAGATTGTAAAGATGCTTGTCCAGTTTCATCCATTATTGACAGTAACCAGTCTCATATGTCGGGTGATACTCCTACAAGATTGGATTGAAGAGGAGGTGGGCAATCAATGGAAAGCTCTCAAGGTGTATTGCCAATCAACAATGAGATCTTTGTTGGATCCGATTACTGAGAAAATGAAGAATCTATCAAAAGCCCTCCAGATGCATCTTAATCATGAAGCAGAAAAGGGTCAACCAAAGACCAAACTAATAGGTAAACTTGTCTTGTTTTCTGCCACATTTCTTCTACTGGATACAGAAGTAAGTTCCAAATACGATAAAAGAGGGATCAAAACATGGTTATTGTTGCTTATTGGAACTGAGCTACTAATATTTTCGGAGTTTTGGAGTCAACTTGGAATTCTTCGTGGAAGGTGCGGCTGTGTGGCAAATTCAACATCAAACTTCACTTTCTTTATTCTAGCAATTGTTTTTGCAAAATCTTACTATAATTCCTTGAGGAGCCTTAGTTTCATGTTTTTCTTTGCAATTTATTTACTATGTCTACTGGTGGTATTACGACCACGAACAGACCTTGGATTGTTTAGTTTCATCATTGGAGTCATTGGATCCATTAGTTACAATCACTTCCAATTCACGTCTCCCACATGGATAATTGCCTCCATCTGCTTTGTATTGTTCAGTTTCAAGAGCTGGTTAGATAAGTACTGGTTGGATTTGGAACAAGATCAGCCACTGAGCTCTACAAATACCACAGTTAGAAGCACCAACATATTTTTTATTCTGTTAACAGCTACTATACGAATCGCAGGAGTCGTGTTTCAATTTTCTGTTGTCAAATCTCCCTTGTTCAATTATAAAGTATTGTTAGGTAGGGCAATCGGGACCATGACATGGACTATCCGCTTTTATAAGTTCTATCCCAAAGATACCTCACTACCCTCTACAAATACCAAAGGAGCCAGTGGTTTGATTTTGACCATTGTAAATATTGCACAAGGTATTTTCTTGTTTGGCCTTTCCACATTTTTTATGGCAGATTATAAAGACTGGTTATTTGCAATAATCAGTTTTGTGGTTTTTTGTTTCTGGTTACGAAGCCTTTTCCCCAAAAATTTGTCACTACCCTCCACAAATGCTAAAAGAATCACCGATATGATTTTGTCTTTGTTATCTGTTGCCAAATACGGTATTATGGTGTTGGCTGGTTTGGAACCCCACTTGTACTTTAAAGACTGGTTAGCTGTGCCAACTTGTTATGTGCTTTGGTGGATTCGGTTACGTATGTCCTTTCCCAAAGATTTGCCACAATTATCCACCATAGTTGAATTTAAAGCTACACAATGGTGGGCAATGATGATAGGTTCCATGGTTGTAGAGGTCATATATTGGACGATGACTATCTACAACATGCATTAACAAAGAAGCTTAGTAAGTACTTGAATACTTGAAAATTTTTATATTAGTTCTTGTATTATTCTCTTTTTCAAGTATATGTTTACCAAAAAAAAGTGAAGTAGTGATGGAGGGTGAGTCCACTTTTGTTGGCCTTTAATAAAGATCCTACCCTCCATCAATAGTTAAAAAAAATGCAATTCATGCATGTCAAACTAAAAAAGCAACATTCTCTATGTTTATATGTCTTGTATCTATACTAAAGCCGATCAATCATTTGTAATTTTTAGTCATTTATGTTTTATTAGTTTGGATTTATTGTAACCGGTCTTTTGTTATATAAACATCAAATGAAACCCCCTCATCTTATTCATATATACTAATAAACGGGATCCTGTACAATTAACTCACATGTCTTTCATGGAATTTACTTTCTCTGTCCCAATTAACTCACATGTCTAGTATCTTTACTAAAACCAATCAATTTAGCTCCTCCATGGCATGGATAGAGATGATTTTTCCCTCACAAAATTTTGTAAGGAATTTTCCCTACCTCGCAAATCCTCATGAGAAACTGTAAATTAATAAATAAAAATTATAAATTATATTTCTATAAATTATAATAAATCCAAACATCTTAATTCTCAAACCCATAAATTCTAACTACAAACACTTTTGACTCTTGCATCTCTCTTTTTTACTACTTTAGTTCTTCCTGACCTCACCTCTTTATTTAATGGGTTTTTTTTTTTAATTTGAATTTAACTTACTTTATTTATTTATAGGCAAAGCTTACTTTATTTGATTTGATTTGATTCATTTTCTAGAAAAAAAACCTAAAAGTAATTAATTTTTCTAAAATGCTTTTAGACTTTTTTTGATTGAGAATTGAATAAATTAAAGTATTTTTATATATAAATAAATAAATAAAAATTTATATTTTTATGGAAATTCCCCATATTTGTGGAAATTTCTCAATTCCTCGCAACGATAGGCATTTTTTTGCTCTCTATCAAAAATCTCCATGAGATCCTCATATTTGTCAATGATAAGGATAGGATGGTAATAGCATCCCACCCCTACAGAACTCGTTGCCATCCTAATCCCAGTGAAACAATGTCTTCTGATGGAGAAGAGATCAAATTTCACTTGCTTTTGTTACATTATGAAATTGGGATGACTTCATGATTTAGTATTTATAATTTCTCAAATCCCACAAACCGGCTGGATTTTACCATCTACGTGATGTATTAGTTGGTAGATTATTTGGTTTTACATTGAAGATGTTCTCTAACTCAGTTTTTTCCTTTGTCTTTACTGGGTAGCAGAAACTACAACATAAATAGTTCTTTTCTTCACCTAATATTTGACTACAATGACATACATCCATGAAATAAGGAAATCCATAACTGTACACCTAAAACTTTTGACAAAACGAAAGAGTTTACTGCCATTTCTTGCCATTTTGACACCGCAGCTCCAACAATTTTATTAATCTACGTTTACATTCTTTCTCATCATTGCCTTTTCTAATATCAGATTAATTTTAATGTCATTTTATTCTGATATTGGTTCATGAGGTTCTTGCGAGTGCTGAATTGAGATGTATAGTAGCATTCCTTGTGACAAATTCCAATTGAGTGATGGAGTTCTCTCTCTGGTTTTTTTCTCTCTTTCCTCCGGGTTTTAAATTAATAAATTTCAGCAAACGTATTATAACCAAAAAAAAAAAAAAAACAGCACTTTTATAAATGAACTCAACTCATTTTCTTTTAACCTTGTGATGGAACAACACCAAATACCAAACACTTGACATGAATTTGACATTCGACTCGGTATTGAAACTGTTGAATTCTATCTAGCTCTAGTTGTTTATTGATTTCGAGCGTGGAATTGTTACAGAAGACACAAAAAATCATGACAGTATATATATATGGGAGTCCTAGTCTCTTTTGCATAGTAGGATATGCACTGCATATTATGCAGTGCCTTTATATATGTTAGACTCAAGATCCCCTCAAATGAATCTACGTAATAAATTGAGAAGAGAAAACGTTAATGCCGTTTTTCTGTATTTCTGAAAAGCATCGCCTTGTGGGAATATACAAGCAAGAATAAAATTGAAGATCAGAAAGAGAAATAAGATCACTGTTAGATAAAAAAAAAAGCAGGATAATCCACCAGAAGGAAAAAAAAATGAAAGAGAAGGAAGATAAAATTTTTAAACTTAGGGATATGCCTAGAAGGTTTATTCAGCATGTTACTGGAGATGGTGCATATATAAATATAGAAAAGTATTTTTGTAATTTCGTGCTCTGAAATATTTTTTGAAAAATTTATTTAAAAATTTATATTTTAAAAAATTAATTATTTAATTAAAAATTTTATTTATATAAACTATATATGTAAATTTTTAAATTGTTCATTTCAACCCATGTCACATGAACTTCAACCCATGTCACATGAACCAAAAGAACGCCAGTGACGACTTTGAAGACCCACATTAAATGGGCAAAAGCTTACATTTAACCCCTCACCTTATCAAGTTTAAGAATTTTAACCTTTTACCTTATATTATAACATTTTTAACCTCTCATCTTACTAGATTTATAGGTTTTAGCCCCTCATATTATACTATGACACTTTTAGCCTCTCACTTATTAAAATTAAAAAAAATAGCCCTCATTTTGTAACATTTTGTTAATTATATTAGCTGACTGTTAACTCTATTAGTTAATTGTTAGTTGACTGTTAGTTGTTAAAAATCCTTTTCAACTAACAAAGGTTTTTAACAGCTAACAAAGTTAACAGAATTAATTTATAATATTTCATTAATTTTGTTAATTAGTTATTAATTAACTATTAGTTGATAAAAATCTACTTTCAACTAACAGAGTTAACAGTCAATATAAAGTAAGGGCTATATTCTTCAATTTTAATAGATGAAGGATTAAAACTTACAAATTTAGTAAGATAAAGAGTTAAAAATGTCATAAGATAAGAAGTTAAAACCTTCAAATTTAATAAGGTGAGAGGCTAAAAATAAGTTTTTACCCCTTAAATGAACCAGACCCACGCCAAATTCCATTACCAATTGTGCTAATCCAAGTCCACAAAGAAGACTGCACTAGGGGTGAATATTGAGTCCTGGGATATTTGTTACTTATAAGTATTTTATCTATTTAAATAAGTATTTTATTTGAATTGAAAAAATTAGTTAAATAATAAATACAAAAACAATATATTTACAAGTATGAGTCAAGATGCATGTTAAATTCCATTACCAATGGGACTAATCCAAATCCACAAAGAAGACCGCACTAAGGAGTATTGGGTACAGAAATACATATTATTTATAAACATTTTAATTTATTTAAATAAATACTTTACTTGAATTGTAAAAAATTTTGGTAAATAATGAGTATGAAAATAATATATTTATAAGTACTAATCAAGTAATAAATATAAGGATTCAAAACTGTTCATTTAATTTATTTAACCATTTTATTTAATTGACTTGTCATCCATATTTATATAATTAAAATTTTATATATACTTATTATATTTAATATTTATATAATAATAATAATTTTTAAAAATAAAAATAATAAAATGCGAAAAATAAAATAAAATAAATTACACATGCAACTTGTAAATAGCAAATTCTAAATCCAACGCATATCACCCTTGTAACTAACAACTTTTTCCCTTTCGTGCACTCTTAAACAACGGTGAGTACATATAACTTTAAAATTTGATTCTTCTTAACTTTTTTTTTTCTTTTTTACGTTTCTACTAGTAATTTTCAAAGTTATAATCTTTATTTATTGTATAAATGATTTTTTAACTTTAAATTTCAAATTTAATATTATAAAAATCTTAAATAAAAAACATGGATATCATGAAATTAAAATAGATATGATATCATCAGTAATTATCCTTTCTAACAAATAAAAACCGAGAATTGGATGGATTATAAACCAAAAAACCTAGACAAAAGATTAAGGGAACTATAAGTCTAAAGACCTAAAGATCTCCTTTGAAGAACTTTTATTCTATTATTTAATTTTTTTATTTTTTATTTTTGGGACACATTTTTCATTTTTTATTGTTAATTATTTAACTGAATTTAGTTTTTTAATTGTACATAGATTTGACATCCAAATATGAAGCTAAATTAAAGTTTTCTATTATTATTTTAGATTATATTTAAGTTTAAATTATAATAAATAATATTTTATTAAATTTTAATTTAAAATTTTTTAAAAAATATATCATTTAATAAGTATATAAGTATATACCTACAAATTACCTAGTACCTATTAAGTTGATTATCAAGTCTATTTTCAAGCATTTAGGTAAATATCAAGTCTAAAAAAATATACCTAAAAGTTTTTAAGTCAAATATTAAATATTACTTATAACCATGTACCCAAAAATACTAAAGAAAGGGCTAACTAGGGGTCGACATCAAACCCCCCAGTGATATTTCCACTTAGGGATAGGTTGATACCACTTTATTCATCACGCAGAGAACAAGCAACGCCAATTTTCAATACCAATATAAGTGCAAATCCAAGTTCATGGAAGGCCACAAGTCCCACCGACGGTGACCCAATTCACATTCCAATACTAATTAACGATTTTGATTTTTTTTCTTAAATAAAATTTAAAATATTATTTTGTTAATTAATTTTAATTTATTAATTAATAAATATTAAATATTTTATTAATTAATAATTATAATTATTAATTATTTTTATTAATTAAATTAAATAAAATTAATATTTTAAAAACAAACTATACCTAAGCATAGTTTTTTATGCCGGCTAGCCATACTCAACAGGCTGACGAGAAAGGCTAAGCTATGACTGGCATTCCATTTACTGATTCCTGTAAACGCTTAACAGTGGATTCAAAATGTTTTGAAAGGCGGGTTTCCACTTTTCAGGGGTGGATTAACCATTTCTACAACCCAGCCAGTCTTTCGGGGCCTTATTCTTTTCTTTTTTTTTTTTGAACAAGGGTAATCGTCTACAGAATAATTTATGTTTATAGGGGATAAAGTAGGAGTGAAAATTTTTTTAATACAAATGGAATATGAGATATATTATTATTATATGAATATTAAATATAATAAATTCAGATAAAATTTTGATTATATAAATATAAGCAACATATCAATTAAATAAATTAATTTTGTATTAATATTTCAATATCTGAAAATCACATTAAATCTGATTAGTT